ACAAAGTGCTGCAGGCTATGATCTTATCATTCTCCTCTTCCTTCTTCTCAGTTCAGTTCAATGACAAACACGTATTTCTCTTCTTTGCTCCAGTTTCTGGTCTGGAGAAGCCTGGTGTTGGAGCAACAGGTGATGTTGCAAATCAGGAATGACAAACGTTAATGGTGGCCTGGTGAGGGGAAAGCAATGGAGGGGACAGCAAACTTGCAACGAATTTTATCATGCTGCGGCTGGCGCACCAATTCTACACAGTGCTGCAATTTTATAGTATGAGCAAAAGTTTACTCACGTGCATGCCTGCACACGCACAGTTTTTTGAGAAAGACATAAAGCAAATTAGAGTGTTCACATGTAATTAGTTGACTATTAGTGTGGTTCAGCCGAGGCGATAGGCAGACAGTAAGCCTTGAGATAGCTCACAGATAAAAGGACTGAGGGTGTTCTGGAGAAAGCTGGAGGTAATAGTTCAGAAGAGAAATTCCTGACAAATTGAGCAGGCATCTAAGGATGTTCTTGCCCTACACCTTTAGCACTACGCAGTGTAACTATACAGACCTTCCCTCTCCCTGCTACAAAGCTTAACCCTTCCTGGCATCCAGGGCTTTTTCTCCTTGGAGACCCCACTTTTAAATTATTTAAGAATTAATCATAATTTCATGTTTAAACACATTAGTTTGGACTACAGCTGTGAAATTCCCTCCTCATGCTTCCTGTCCTCCTTGTGACAGCATATGAGACAGAGACTATAACCCTTGTAGAGGCTGGGATACCTCCAGTTATTTATCTAAGAGTGCAGATGACCAGGTCTAGTAAAAACATTATCACTTACCATAAGTAAGCATCGCACTTGGAAAGATAACCAAAGCGTGTCTGAGTTCAAGTCTTTGCAACTTCTATGAAAATGTGGGTATCTTAGTAAATCTTTATGCTACATGAAAATGTCATTATATTTTTCTCTTGTAGCTGGCAGGGAAGTGATTTTTTCTGTCCTTTGGGAGTTTTCAAGATTTCATTTTTTCCAACTAATTCTCTGGATATCAAATAAGCTGCTAAAAAAAATTTAAAAATCAGACTGAGCCGTTTGATTCAGTAATTTCAAAATATTTCATTTTTTTGCTTTCAGTTATAAATTAAAGATTAAAACCAAAACATATTTCAAAGCAAATAGATATTTTTCTAAATGAACATTTATCAGGACACTTGCAGAGATTTTGAAATGTCTTTAACATTTTTTTTTTCAGTTGAGAAGCCTCATGAGAACCACCTAATTCCCTCCAAACCTTTTTGCCTGTTTGGCACTTTCTAATACAGAGTTTTCATTAAAAACCCCAGACATTATCCACTTGTATCATCAATTCAGTATCTCAGGGTGTTCTTGTTTGGGATGGCTTATGAGGAGGGATAATTGAGATTTCCTGCTCTGAGTTGATCCAGCACTGAACGTTTCAAATACTGCTGAAATAATCCATATTTCTGAGTATCCATTCCTGTAAAAGCTTACATTTCTCAAGGCCTGTATACCTATGGTCTGTTGTCCCTTCCATTACTCTCAAATAGGACTGATCTAAAGTGTTGCTGTTGAAGTGAAAATTTGTCATAGGTTTTGCACAACTTGCACACTTTTTCTTTGCCAGTGTGTAAACTCTGTAGCAAGTCTGTTAGGAATCCATTCTGCAAGGAAAATGCACGCGCCATGTATCAGAAGAAATTTTCATCTTTTCTGTCATACGAGACACAGAATCCACCAAATAGGCAGAAGAACTAGCACTGTTGGAGTGGGTAAAGCCATATTCACTAAAGAACATGCTATTTTTTTGCAGTAATCATTTCTCAGCATACAATTAAAAACATTCAGTAAATAGGAATTCTTTAACCCATGAAGAAAATTACCACTTCTAGTTTTAACACTCATTCGTTCAAGGCTTGTGTAGGCATTTGTCATGAGCAAATGATGGAGTAAATTCTCTACAGAAGAGATGTTGAATCAAGAGCACAAGGTGTTGTGTTTCAGTTCATCTTGAAGGAGGAAACCTTCTGCTGTAGATCTCAAGTGATGCTCAAGGAGAATAGCATGTACGAGGAGGAGAGCCAGCATGCTGGTGGCCAAGAGCCTATCACTAGAGATAAAGTCTGGGGACCATGTCAAGGTAAGGGACCTCACAAGCCACTCAGTAAATGCTTTCTTTGCAACATTTGCTGCCCTGCTTACCTTCTTTCCAAGGCCCGTCTTGCTCATTTTCCTCATCCCACTCTGCAGAATGACAGGAACACCTAAGGTTTTTCACAGGTTTCTGGAGAGAGGATCAAGTTTTCAAACTACTGTTTGTCTTGCCTAGAAGTAGCTGTACTGGGTTAGACCAAGGGTCCAGCTAACCCCTCACCATGTCTGTGGCAGAAACCCCTAGCAGATATACAGAAAAAATGTCAGAAGTCAAGCACAAACTAATTCTTCTCCTGAGGCATTTTCCTTCTTCCTGTCACTCAGTGCATTACAGAGACTGACAATCGAAGTTGCATAAAATAAGAATGTTTAATGGTATCAAAAGAACTATCTTCCATGAATTTCTAGTTCTTTTCTAATCTGAATATATTTTTGGTATTCTGTGGCAGAAAGCCCCACAATTTAACTGTGCTGCATGACAAACATAACATTTGTTCCCTTTAAACCGCCTTTGCACCTTGTACTAACACAGTGAATAAATATTCCTCTCTTCAGAACATTCTTCATAACATTTGTCATCATATAATCCTCAGGCATCTCCTTTCAAAGAATTCTAAATTTATCTAGTTTTTTCTCATGTGGAAGCAGATACATACAATTATCCACCAGACGACCACTATCAGACTCAACTGTTGTTACTGAGACTGAAACTCTTCCAAAAATTAATTTATTTAAAATAATCCAAATGGTGCAAATATCTGAAGATCAGGCAGATCTCTAAAACCTGCCTGCAGCAAAATCATGCAATTAGAATCATGCTTATAAGTGTTGGAGTCTTAAAACATTAATAGATCATTTTAATGGAAGGAGTTATTAAAATTGTATTTGATTTGCATTATTACATCACTGAATGCACCATGGAAAACTGAGTTCATGGGAGAAGTACAGCACAAAACAGTTTCTTCTTATCTGAGCTGGAACTTTAAAATAGACCACGCTTTACAGTTCTGCCTGAATTTTCTTTAGTTTTATTTCTCTTCTAAATTGATGAGAACTGTTTTTATTTTAGAAATAGAAAATTAGGAGGATAAAGTAGTTGGAGATTGAAATAAAGTCTCAAAAAATTAATTTGAGGAGCAAAAAATCCTTCGAATGTAAGTAATTTTTATCATATGAAATGTGTTGTTCTGATCATAACAACTATCAAAACTCCCAGGAATTGTAGGGTCTCTGTAGATATTTAGGAAAAAGTTGCCCAAATGTGGAAGCAATTATAAAGAAATTCATGACTCGTTAGTGAGCATTCCTTGTTTTATTTCTGTTACAAGTAGACTGTAATTTCTGGATCTCTATCTGATATCTATTTTATTGGGCACTTACCCTCCCTGATGTGTTTATAAAATTTCCCATTTCATTAGTGGGACGTCACCAGAAAATCTGATGTACAAACCTCTTCCTTAATCCAGTAGAAAGCAGAGTTTGTTTGAGTCAACGGAATCATTTCCAACAGACTTAGGAATAAACTTGCAAGAGTTAAAAAAATATATAACCATAATCACGAAGTGGAGGAAGGAATACAGTGAATTTGCCCTGCAACTGAGATATTTTTAGTTCTGTATTCTTTAGAATCCCTGTAAAGGTATATCCCTCACGCACAGTTGTCAAAAATAGAGTTTAGGTGTTTAGACTTGAGTTGATTTAAGCCGGTTCAGAAGTGTGCTCTATATTTTTCAGGGCAGCACAAATGTGCAAAAACGGCGTCTTCATGTTCAAAAGCTCCATATCATTTAGAAGAACAGTGCCAATAAATTAAATGAGAGTATTTCTATTAAAAATAGAAAGTGTCCTGTAGAAAAAAAAATATTCTTTATCTTCTAGACTTAAAAATAGTTTAAAATGCAATGGTCAGATCCTTAGCAGGTGTAAACCATCACAGAAATGATGCTGTAACACTTTACATGATATTACCAAATTGTCTTGCTGGTAATTAAGAATATCCTCTGTGGAATAAGGACCAATGACAGGAGGAAGTATAAGTTGATATTGTCTCAGCACGCATAAGTGGTAGACAGAAATATTCATGTGCATAATCTTACACCTAGCCTACATGATACCCAGTGGGCTAAAGTAATAGCACGCAGAATTATCCTGGAAAAGGCAATTCTCAACAGAAACTAAAAATCTTATGAGTTGTCTGTAAGTTTTTCATAATTATACATGGCAAAAATTAAAATAAAACTAACAGGCATGCACTTGGAAAATGTTTCTTTAAAAATATTTCTTTAAACTTTCTTTAAAAATCCAGAGGATATTATACACAAATGTTTTTCAAGCCAAATTTTTCTGAATTTCATCCCAAGAAAATCAGTATCTCTTTCCCCATTTATTTTCATGGGTTTATTATGTCTATAGTCTACATCCCAGGGAAACAAATATAATTGCTATTAGGAAGGTAATGAAGTCATTCTGGCAAAACATGACAAACTCTTGCTCTGAACTCCTGGTGTAAATTTCAGGGGAAAAGGACACCTCTTAATTCAATAGCCACTTCTATGAAGAGCCATAGAAGCCATGATGTTGGCTACAGCACAGTTCCTTTAAGGTACCAACATAATGATGGATGGACCACTCGGTGGATGAGGAATTGGCTGGTTGGTTGCACTCAGAGAGTTGAGGTCAACACATCAATGTCCAAGTGCTGAGCAGCAGTGAGTGGTGTTCCTCAGGGGTCGGTGTTGGGACCAGCACTGTTTAACATATTAGTTGGTGACATGGACAGTGGGATCAAGTGAACCCTCAGCAAGTTCACCCACAACACCAGGCTGTGTGGTGTGGTTGACATGCTGGAGGGAAGGGATGCCATCCAGAGGGACCTGAACAGGCTGGAGAGATGGGCCCGTGCAAACTTCAAGTTTTTCAACAAGGCCAAGTGCAAGGTCCTGCACATGGGTCAAGGAAATCCCAAGCACAGACACAGGCTAGGTGATTAGTGGATTTAGACAAATTCCCTGTTTTCTCATTTTGAATATTAAGATCAGTTTTGATTCCACTATCCCAAAACACTTTAAAAATAGTCAACTGAGGGAGGAAAAGTATAGTGTATAGTGGTGAATGATACTTCAGTGCATGTGTTTAAAATGTCCTATAAATCCAGAATAACCAAAATCATGATGTCGTAACAAGATTACTTTAAAAGACCAATTATTTACCATCGTTGAAGACAAAAAGGTAGTCTGTACAGATTACTTGTGGGAATCTTTATTTCCAATATTGAAGGATATTCTAGATTAGCAGAAATCAAGAAAGAATTAAGCATATATATATATTAAAAATTGGTCTTTGATCTCATGTAAAATGTAGAAGGCAGAAAACTGTATTAGAATAGTCCCTGAGCAAGAACCGTTATCTAAACATCAAGTGCAAATATATAGCAATCAGAAGACTTTTTCCAAGATATGAAAAACATCCACTAGCAGCAGGAAGTAGAAATATTTGAATGCTTCTCTTGAAGCCCTCAAAACTAAATCTTGATGCCTCTAAGGCAGGCTCCAGCAGCATCGTCCTTCCAGGAGCTCTGATCAGTCAGTCTCCTTATCTCAATATCTGCACAGTCCAAGCAGGGACACGCTGAATATTAGCATCTTTCTGAAGCTGCTTAATGTATTAGGCTCTTTTTTAGCCTGTTGGTATCCTGACTTCTCTTGTATAATGTAACAGGGAAAAGTGTAGCCTTTTTCCTTATTAATATAGAGCATGCAAGTATCCACATATGAAGACTAGCAAAATGCTGCCTGTTATAAAACAGCAAATATTTTGTATAGTGGGAAAATTCTGTGACCTGCCTATTAAATGAGAAGCAGAGTTTCTTATGTATGGCCCCAGTGAACTCATCCCACTTTGTGCATATTGGATCTTTGCAAATCTCAGGAGTTTTGTGTTTAGCAAAGCAGATGTGCAAATGGAGATCCTGGTGACCTCACCTCTGAGAATTAGGCCTTTGACACACATTACTCTCCTGCTGACAGCAAGAGAAGTGTGGATCAGTTGGCATTTCACACCTGCAACTAATGTAGAAGTTGTAAGGATACAACTGATCATTAGGAATAGAAGGGATGCTTTGGACATGAACCAGCTATATTTAACAGGAAAGGTGCAAATCCACATTACGACTCAGGATATGTATTAGTTGTAACCATTCTTTAACCTGGAAAGAAGGAATTATATCCAAGGGAACTTGCCTCAAAGAGTTTTTCTTTCCTCTGGCAGAAGTGATGATTAGGCTACAATTGGCCATGGGTTTTATCTGTAGTTGGGGAATGTACGTTTTAGTTTGTACAGCTTCAGCTGGTAGGCCAGTCTCAGTTCAAGATCCTGATCTACTATAAATATATCTTCACAGTAAATAGAACAATGAACTTGGAGTAAAACCGAGGACCTCACTCAGCTCCTTTGGCCTGGACTGAGCTGACTGGTAAATCTGGGTGGGGATGAGATCTCTCTGAACATCCCAAGTTCTCCTTCTCTCTTCTATCTTGGAAAGTCTGTGCCTCCAGACAGGCTCCTGGAGCCAGGAATTACAACAGTTTTTCACCCACTGTTTTCTTGTAGGTAACAGATGCTCTGTGCTGCCTCTTGGGCCTTTTTGGCTTCTACTAATGCTGCAGCATGTATTATCCTGATCAGGGCTCTCTTCACTAAATCAGATCTATCAACAGCAAAGCAGTTGGTGTTAGATGTTTGTCTGCTGCCCCATCTAGGACAAACAAACCTTGTTGGGTGGATAGAAAGGTACCATCATCAAAGGATTGCAAGACATCCACTTGCTTTAGTGCTGGGAGTTCCTCTCCACTTGATGGTGTTCAAAGGTTTCTTTCTCAGTGTCTAACAGGTGGCTGCTCTAATGCTTCCCAGCCTACAGGCTGATACCTCATGGCTTTTTTTCCTGGCTGAGAAATGTCTACAGATGGAAATGAGCGGTTTTGTCTCCTCCCGCCAAGCGTAGAGGGTAGGAACAGGTTGCACAGGCACATCTCTCCTTGAAAAGTCGGGGAGGACTACCACCACCAAAATGGGCCCCTGGGCAGTTACGTGACATTTGGCTTGAGAAAGGAAACCGGTTTGTCACCTCATTGCTTAATGGTATGATCTCAAGACAGAGCTAGGTATACCTCTGGGTGCAAGAGATAACATTACACTATTAACACTGTACTCTTCGTGTTCTGAAGATATTCTTGCTTCCAACCTCATAGTGTGAGACAATATTAAAAATGTGGTGGGATTCTCTGTTCCATCAATACTAATTTATAGGTTCTCCTACCAAAGAAAACAAAGCCTCACTCCATATTCTTCCTTGTAATTTCTGTTAGAAGATACAACAGCTCCAAATTAGATGTCATAATCCATGACCCCTTGGCCTGAGAACTGTATGTACATGTAGGAAAGGTGTTCCTACCCAGAATAATGTAAGCTATAGATGAAGGATGTGTGAACACTTTTTTGTAACTTGATTGTATCTATATACTCTGCAAAATGTATTTTGGATGTAGTTAAGAATAGTAGTACATATGATTCAAAGTAATCAGGTAAATTAAAACATGTAGGAAAGGCACAGAAGAGACAATGGAAGGTATAGGTAAAAGCAGGAAAAAAAAAAGAAAGAGAACAGATGTGGAGACAGCAGCTAAAACAATAACGGGTGTGACAGGCAGGATCAGGTAAGACAAATCCAAATAATTTATAAGATGCAAAGATGCCTCTCTGGCATTGTACCTTTAGTGTTTCTCCACAGTGATGTTATAGTGCTTTGTTTTGATGCAGATGAAGCACTGAAGTTCTGATTTTTTTTTTCCCCCCTGTGTAAGGTGTCCTTTATGCTGTGATGAGATCACTGGTGTATTAGTTCATTTTAATCTTTTCAGAAAGAATCCAGGAACTGTGGTAAGGTCATGGCTGCAGTAATGTCTAAAAGGATGGCTTTATGGAGGAAAGTAGAAATTTTCCTCTCATTTAATGAAACTGTAATAGAATTTGTGGCTCTCAAGTGTTTTGGACAAGTTAAGGTTTATTTTTCTGTTGCATGTTTTTTTGCAAAAGACAACCTGCTTCATGTTCTTTATTTTCTAAATATTGCATAAATCCAACAAAACTTGCAGACAAAGCACCCTGCTAGAGCAGTGCTCCATTTAACCAATCATCTAGAAGCATCTTTACCCATGATACCTTCTCAGTTATACAGTCAAGAGAAGGGTAAAAATAGTCAGACTCCTCTGATAACCTGAATGTCCCCACATTAGACCTTCTGTACCATCCAGAAGGTACATGCCTCACTAAGAACATCCTAGTTCCCATCTCTTTCAAGGGGAAAAATCTTTGGGGCGTCCCCCAGGGCCATGGTATCAGTTTAATATGACATATTGGTGCCTCATTGATCAGTGGAGTAATGTCAGGCACAAATTTAGACTGTGTCATTTCAGGCAATGACAGTGACTTGGAAGTGCCAAACTTTCACTGTTATTCTGATTTTACCTCCACTCTCTGTTCGTTAAGTGAACTGACAAGACTTAATGATATGATTCTGAAAAGTCTCTGGATGAATTTAGTACTGGAAAGAAATATGTAGACAGATGGAATCATATGCCTCACTTTACCATGGCTTATATATTGTATTTTAATGTGGTTCTAATGAATTTAAAAATTACTCTTCAGTGTGCTTGCTGCCTAGCTCAGAAGGGCTATTTTGAGTTTGATGTCTTCCTGGAATCTTGAGATAATTCCCTCTGGATTTGTTTGGTAAACAACAAAGTGGTGATAACAAATACCCTGCTTTAATCCAGTGCTATGGTTTCCCCCTCTTTGCAATGTGGATTTGTGCATACAAACAGTTACACTGCTCCTAGTTTAATAATTTTAGAGCATTAGTGACACGCGGCATAAAACCAGTTCTTCTTTCATATCTAGAGACCAAACATCTTGGATGATCTGTGTGACAGAGCAGATGTCTCAGGTTTAGTATTGCTCAAATAGTTGAAGAGCTTTAGTTGCCCAGAGAGGAGTGGGAGATTAATGGCATTCATTGATAGTGATAGGGAACTGCACGCTCTAAATCCCACTGCAAGCAAAGAGCCCACCTCTACATACTACTAATATACATAACTATAGAAAGCCTTCCTATTTAAAAAGACTAATTAATAATGCTTAGTAGTCTGGATTTCTAAGTATGAATTGTCAGGGATTTCGGCAGGCTTAGGGAGGTGGGGAAATGCGTTAACATTGCATTGTTTAAAATTACAGGGTTTAAAATTGTTTAAAACGATAAGCAGATAGGGTTACCACACCAGATTTGAGACATTTGTTCTCTTTTATTTGTACTAAAATTTCGGCTTGATCTCACATTGTCATTCTACCCAGACTGCTTTCCAGACGAGCTAATTTGTCTACCTGTGTTCCATTTTAGGCCTTGGTTTTAATTTGAGGATGATTCCTGATAATACTGAAGACTGCATAGGACATCCATTAAAAGTCTACACAGCAATTGAAATGGAAAATTCCAAAAGAAACCCTATTAGAGTTTTTCTCCATCAAATCAACATTACAGACTTCTTATGCATTTCTTAATTAGACATTGATATTAACTGGACTGTTGCATGATTTAAATCTAGCTCTTAATCTCAGCTATTCTATGCTGCTGTAGTTTTTATGACATCCAACTAGCGACTGCTTTATGCATTAATCTATCTGGAAAACCACCTTCACATTTTTTTTGTCTTTTTTTAGAAGAATAAAGGCCCCAAGAAGGAAATGAAAGCTTTTGGGTTCAGCCATTAGTAATTTTCTGCTTAGTATTTGAAAAATTGCTTATTTTAATTGCTTCATAGAAGAAAAAGATATCAAAGCTAACGTTCTTTCTCTCCAAACTTTGTAATTATTTCTCTCAGACTCCTATTTGAAATGCCTTGAAAGGATTTTCATTGAAATGTAGATTTCTTCTCTTTCAAAAGTACTTTTATTCCCCCGTGCTTCTTTCCCTTTTTTCATAGTGACTTCCTCTCCAGATTTAGAGTAAAATACATAGACTCCAATCTCTGGACACTGTAGCATGTGTCACACAGACGTCCCTTAAGCGCCATCTTCTTTAAAACTAACCTTCCCATGGCCTAGACACTGTGCTGACAATTGCCCATAGATCTTGGACAGCCTGGTATCCTTGGGCTTCCTCCACAGACAGTGAATGGAGTCATAGGTGTTATAGGGATTTGCTATATCAGTCATACTCATTCTGAAAATTGCTGTGTGATTTGTTTATTAATATCGCCACCAAAATCAGGGGAGCCTAATGGGAAAGTTTTATAGATGTTAGTAAGCATGTTAGTGAACTGAAGTTAGGGGCTTGTGATAAAGTCTAGGGCTGGATAAGCTTTGTATAGTTTTGTGTTCTGTTTCCAGCACTATAAATCCTGAATTTCTCAATCCAGGAAGGAATCTGCTAACCAAACCCTGTAGTTAGTTCTGCATTGTATTTAAACATCAGTAGCACGAAGCTTTAGGATCGTGTTGGCCCCATCAGTAATCCTTGATACCAACAGAGCAATAGTAGTAAGAAGTTCTTTATTTCACCTATACATTCTCAAGGAACATTATTTACTAATAGATTATGATCTGGTCAAAATGATCTATACATTCATTACATCTAGAGTAGGCTTTCATAACTCACAGTATCTAAGAATGAGGCAAAACTTGCATTTGTTTATAGTGCAGCAATTCTGCTCAGCAAAAAAAGGTGCAGAGAAAATACTGTCCTAAGCACCTTGTGATCTGCTCTGAGTCTCAGGTGATTTCTCATGCCAGCTCAAAAACATCTTTAAGAGCCTTAGAAAAGTGGGGACCTGGCTGCCTCAGAGACTCCTCAAAATATAGCTGTTCTCTCTGCAAATAAGTGGCCCCGCAAGCCTCGTGCAGTCATGGCTAAGGTTATCTCATAGGGGGAATCTTCAGAGTGGAACAAAACATTTTGAGAAGATTGAAATGAAGCTAAAGCATTCTCAGTATCAGATTTTACATGCATATTTTTTTTTTTTTTGCAATAACACAAAAGGAAGAAAGAGAACAAGAAAATGAGTTAGAGGAAGATGGAGAGATGGTCTATTAAGCAAAGCTACCTTTTTACTCTCTGAATTTACAGTCCTGATAGACATCTTTATTCAAAATTACTCATTTTTTATATTCAGATACTACAATTTTCAATACTAGGTCCTAGATTTGTCCGGACAGATTACCTTCTTATTCCCACAATGAAACTTAATTATCCTTTTTATGTCTTCAGATACTTTCAGTCATTTCGTGAACTGTTTCTGGGGACAGAGAGCAGCTGATGGGTCAGTAAAGAAAGTCCTGTGCATCCGTGTTGGCAACACATTTTTGAAGGTAGAAGCCCTTTGGCCCCAGGTCTCCTTAGAAAGATTTTGAGCACTAGTACATGTAATTTACTCAGATCTACTTTTGCTAAGATTTTGACTAGGCAGAGACTCATCATTTTCTCAGCACCTTTCTGTATATTACTTGGAAGCATCTAAATGTGAGTAACTCACCTGGAATCTGTAGAAGGATATTTGAATGACTCATCTCTGAGACAAGAATAACCCCTCGTGAAATCCAAGATGAAATGACTGCATGGTTTAACACACACCTTCCTGTATCACTGCTGTTGCAGCAGGAAGGAATGTGTCTGAGCAGTTAAAGTCCAAATGACTAAATAAATAGGTTCAAAGCAGCAGTAGTAGCACAGAGGGCTGTATAAGTTGCCAGTATTGAGTACTTACTAGATTTCAGGACACTTCGTCTGTAAAGAAATCTATAGCACAAATTATCCATTATCACTACTTTCTGTGTCTGAGAAAAACTAACAAAGAGTAGTCAACATAGAAAGGTTGCATAAGATAACCCAAAACCTGCAAGTACTAAAGAGAACATTATAACGAGTATCCGTTCAGTCTTTAAGAGTTATTTTTTAGCTCTTATTATTATTGTAAAAGTCTCAGTTGTTCAAATAAGAAAGTAAATAAGTGTTACAATAAATTAAAATATAAATAGGTTTAAGAAAATCACCCAATTCACCAGAAAGCAGAGAGATAGCACAACTGGTGTGTATTATAGAATCCTTTATAAATGGAATGCTAAATCCCAAAGGGCTGACCTGGTAAAGTAATTTTAATATATAAATAGAGCAGATGTTGCTGTGGTACACAAGTACACTTTATGGGATTGAACAAGTAGTGGTCAAATGCAGTTTCATATCTAGGCTGGGATTAACAACAGGTTTTGTACAAACTTTATACACTGTATAAAAACAAAATTAAACAAAAATCCACTTACCCTAAAATAGTATTCATATTCCAGTCACACTTTTGCATGAAAGTTGTTTCTTCCAAATCCAACTTGTGACCCCAGCCTGAAAGCAGGGAACAGAATGGCACAGTATCACTGGGATCATATAGTCTGTCATACCAAAACCAGAGTTTGAGACAGCACTGCGAATGAAACACACATTTCTCCATCACACCCAACCTACATTTTTTCCTGATGAATTTATCACTCTTAATAATTTCCACTAGCCTGAGAGAACAGATAATCTGTTTTCTATAAATACAATAAATAGTACTTCAAAGGGCATGGCATTTATTCAATTCATCATTTCAGTGATTCAAAATAAATGTAAAGATAAAAGATATCTAAAGCAACAAGCAGCAGGATCCCAGGATTCAGGGTCTCAAGCGGAGTCCCCATTTTTGCTGTTGCTGATTCTGCCATGTTAGACCAGTAACTTCAGCCTTCAGTCTGGGTGCATTTGTCTGCCTCCATAAAGCAGATAGTGAGCATCTTTTATAGGGCTCATACTGTACAGTGTACTGTACATTCTGTACAGTGCATGGCAATAAACTAGGTCCTGATCTCATCTGTGCCCTCGCTCCATGTGACTGGAAAATGGGTGATAAAAAATAATAATAAGCTCTGAATAATTATGTATTGTCTTTATAGTGAAGCAGGCCTTGAGCACTGTGAGCTCTCCACTGGGAGAAGTCCCATTTAAAAAATCTCCCTGACATAAAAATGAATCGGATCCTGTCACATGAATGGCCTGCATTTACTATTCTTTTCACTTACCTTCTAGTCGTTCATTTTCTGAGCTGACTTGTGTCTGTTCCCTGGTTGTCAGCAGGAACTGTGTAACAAGATCTTGCTGGAAATGGACTATTAAATAAATAAACAAACAAACAAGCAAACACAGAAAGAACTGCTGACTTGACAGTTGCACTATTACAACCACAATGTAAAACTATCAAATAACAAATGCAACTTCTGAACATCTCATGATTCACATCAAAAACATCAAGGGAGAAAAGCGAAGGAGGATTTTTGACCAGAGCTAATGTATTTGGAACAACACTGGATTTTGAGATCATGAGAAATTCAGGCTGAATCCAGGTTGAATTCTTGGTCTGCCTGAGCAGCAGACATTCTCCTTCCTGAAACCACTGCATTAAGCACTGCATCCATCATCTGTAAAAAGGCAGCGCTTGGACTACCCCGATAGCAAGGGTCACTCCACTATCACCATGAAAATCAGTCAGCGTCTTGGCTCTAGGATATTGAAAATGTTTGGGCAGTTCAGGAGAACGCTTCTCTCCTTCCAAGCTCCTGACAGCTTTAATGATACCAGGGCTGCTTGTTTCATCTGAGATGGAGAAGGCACATGCTACCTGGACTTTGAAGCTCTTAGAAAAGGTAACAGTTCATACCTGCTGCATTGGGTTTGCCCCTGGTATGGGGCATCCCCCTCAGGGAGATGGAACAAAACAGAATAGAGCAGAGGCAGAAACACCAAAAGTAACCTAATGGATGTTTTGGTGGGAAGAAGGGGAGATCAATTATGGGAAAAATCTGCTGGCCATTAAATGTCCTGGAGCAACTACTGCCACACTGAAGCAGTGAGTTTCCATGTGGCTTTAAGATACCTGCCCTAAGGATGCATCTGCAATTGAAACTGCTTCCTCTTTTTCTTAACTCTCTGATCCCCATGGGTCAGCAGTTGCCTTGCTAAATGAAATGCTTCTTTAGGGAGACCGGCTGGCCCCAGGGATTGGTAATACAATATAGTGCCTTTCATCTCTCACCCATGAACTCAAACCAAACAGAGTTTGGTAAATGGCCAATAACACTTACCATCCCAGGGGCTGTTTGGTGACGTGGGAAATGAGGAGGGTCATCTCTGTGTCTGTTTACTAGAAGGCAAGTGTCAACTTCACCATAAAAAGCGAGATGGTTACTACTCATTATCACCCAATTTAACATTTTGAAGCCAAAAGAATGAGCCTGGAAGGCTTAGCCATCTTCTTACCCAACGATGGTGGTCCCAGTACATCAGGGCTTCAAGAACATTAATCAGGGCGGTTGCATCGTAGCAAACCAGGCTGTGCCTCTCCTGCAGACAAGAAATTCAAGTTTGAACTACTCACAGCAGCATGTGATTACAGTTCTCCCCAGATCTACATGGAAATCCCCAGGAAGAATGGTTCAGTTTTTAGGTGCAGCAGGCCATGAAGTTACAGAAAGCTGATGACTTCTGCAAATCTGCATTTAGGGTCTTAAGTAGACACAGGCAACCTGCACAGGGACACAGCATCCAGCACTGATAGAGTTAACGTGCTGAGAAATCCTTCATTGAAAGGCTCTGTTCCCTCACCCATCATGAATATACTGTTCTGGTTACCAAAATAGCTGCATTTGGAAGGGTTGAAGGCCAGAAGCTCACTGCAGTACCCATTCTTGCCCTATTCACTGCTCATTTTAAGGTCAGACCTTTACCATCAGGAACCTGTTAGAAGAAAGAGGAGTTGGTTTAAAAGTTGTTGCCACTCTGGGGGTTACCCTGGAAGGTCTGAGAGGGGAAAGGGAAGGGCAGGGGTAGATAAACACTTGGCCACATGAAAAATCAGCTGCCCCTAAAATTCAATAGATGTGCATAAACCTCTGAAACCTACCCAAAACTCCAGCCAGCTTGTTCTTACTCATAGTGTTTCTAGTCACCACTATCATTTTGTAGCCCTTCTATGCCATAGCAACAACAACATTGTCTCTGTCAACTGTTACTGTTTTATCCCTACTATCTCGATTAAGTGCATTAAATTGGTATACCTGTCTTAATTAAACAGAAGATGTCAGAAACAGCTTTTACTTCTTATTCTTTTGGGTAGATCATTTCCCAGGGCTTCACAGGTTGTGGAAAAATAACAATACAGACATACTATACATCATATTTCAGCTCAGCTGATAAAGCTATTTTACTCATATAGCAGTCCATGATTTTTTTTGCATATCAGTATAGACTTAATTACCATGCTGCTGCTGCATGGCAGCTCCCCTTGTTTTGTTTTGGTTTTTTTTATTTGTATTATTTGCAATTCGTAATCATGTTTTCCTGTCATCCCTGAGCAATGTGCGTGCGTGCGTACAGGCAAATGCCAAGCCTGGAAAGGAAATTTGATGCGTGTCCATGAATTGGAGTTTTCAAACTTTGGCTGAAGATTAGTACATGTAAACATAGCTCTGCCCCCTTCATCTTGGATAATTGGTCACAAATGCTACTTGACACTTCTCAAATCAGACACTTTACATACTTCTGAGCATAGCTGAACTTTTTTGGCAGGAATTAATTTGCTTTGCAACTCAGCCTCTCATTCCTGGCCCGATCCCTACTCCAGTGATTTCAGTACAATGTTCTGCCAGTGCGAGAAGCACAGAGGCAGGACCAGATCTGTTTGCTAGCGTTGACGAGCCTGGCTTTGTTGACTCCCTCAGAAATACAATTACTGCAGCTGATGTTCTGCCCTTTGCCAGCCTTGATTAACAGTGAGATTTTTACCTTTGCGTCCCTCTCTCTATCCCAATTACTCTACAAGTTATATTGCATGAGGGGACTTCTCCGAAAAATGAAGGCGGCAACATAACATCGCCAGAAAATGCAACTTCTGGCACGCCAGGACCCTTCCACAGCAGCATCAGCATTATGGGAGACGGCTGCAGACACCATCTGCCCCCAAAGAGATTGTCTCAGTTTTCTCCTACCTCTCCTGCAAACAGTGCACGCTCCAGCGGAGAAGGGGAATCCATTTCTGAAGTGCTGATGAAGTCTGAAGTAGCCACAGAATTTCATGCTATTAAACAGCCTCCTGTTTGCTCTGACATTGCTGTGTGTTTATTCACTGCTTACCTGTACTGCAAGAGCTGAGCAAACCATATGCTCACTTCGAAGGGCTGCCAGGTCTCAGGGAGCATTACCATGCCTATTCCAGGAGGGGTTTGGGGCAAGAACACGTTCCATAAAGATTTTCACTAGGAATATTGTATTTTATCTGGTGATGTATTTCTGTCCAGCCTCTGGACTAAATGGCAGTTTATCAGCATATCCACGTACATCTGTGAATAGCCAATGGAAAATATCATTCACCCTTTATTCACCAGGATGCTGATAAACTGCAGCATATTAAAAATATTTGTCAGTTTGTTTTCTTCAGCTAGCAGGTGGGATGTGTGCCAGCATGCCCTCCTCATGCTGCTTCATCCAGAAAATGGAGAGAAAATGATGAAACAATGTCAGTTGTAGGCTAGGTCAAAGGTTCACATGAGTTATTTTTGCATTATTGTCTTGCTCATCGCTAACAGTAAATCTGTAAATTAGATTGAGCTCCTACCTTCAGAAGGATGAAACTTTGCGCTGTGCTTCAGGTATAGACCGTGAAAGGAGTAAATACCCTGCCATGCACCCATGTTGCCTTGGTTCTCGGGGCTTCACAGGGCCCAAATCACTGATGAGGAGGAGCCAGGACAGGACCAGTCCACATGATGTTTCTCTAGCCTCTGGTAGCTTGTGCCATGACTGAGAGCTGAACCAAAAGGGAACCAGCTGCACCAGCCACCTCTCTCTGTGCTTGGGCCCCACACTTTCCAGTCATGGTCTTGCGATGGTTCATCCCTAGAAAAGAAGGGTAGCTGGTGATACAAGAGATATGGCAGATTCACTGTGGAGAAGCAAATGCCCTTATTGCCCCTGAATTTGCCATGAAATAATGCAAAAGGAGACATTACATGCTAGTATGTCTTGGGTTTTCATCGATCCTTACCTTAAATTAAAGAGACAGAGACATATCTTGCTTCCTCCTGTCTAACTCTGATATTTGAACCACTCTGAGAGTAGTGGGTATATTTATAGGTGAACAAGGCACCAACTGGCAAAGAGATGCAACATAGCTCTAAAGCCTGAGCTAAGGAGGAGGCTTAGTTTCCATTGCTATTATATATCACTATATAAATTTAGCTTTCAGGTCCTAGACATTTTAAAATAACATGTCTGGTGTTAGAATAGAAGAGTATCAGAAAAAGTGAATTACAGGTTACAGGCTTCTAGTATTTTCAGTAAAAGAGCTGTTATCGTAATTATATCTATAGAGTACTCATTTATGTTGTTATTAGGGAAAAAGGATAGTAAAATTAGGATGTATGGAAAGGAAATCTTGCAGAAGGGGAACAAAATAATTTAGATGGAACAAAGAACTATGATGGCTACTCAGGACACCTGTTTTCAGCACATGAGCTTACCGTGTGTGTGTGGACCTGCAATGTCCACTGATTTAGAGAAAAACACTATAGGTCACTGCCATCTGGTACACATGGGCACAAACCACAGCCCATAGAAAGGCCTGACCTCACACACAAACCCCCAGATTGGGAGCTGGATGCCTTTTTGTACCATTGAACATCTCCATAGTCTTTGCTAGGTGAGAATGGAAATTGCCCAAAATCCTTCCTCAACTGCCAAAAAAGATCAAATCCAGACTCTTGAGCATTTACAATGAGAATAAAAGAAGAAAAAAATATTTTTTTCAGGGGAAAGGTGAATTTCCATTTTGACTCATTATTTTGTGGTTGGGGCTAAGTGGCCATTATTAGTACTTAGGTACCTGCTGTTGTAAATCCACTTCCTTGCCTCCTGGATGTCATTACTGAAAGTAAGTGAACTGTTGCTTCAGTGGCTAAAGATTTACTTGCTTAATGCCTGGTGTCATCAACAAATTCAAGCTGGCAATGACATCCTACTTGTCTAAGCTAATATACAGCTTTGCACTCTCCTTGTTTTTCTTCCCATTCAAACTTATGGCTTAGTGCTAATGTCAACCACTAACCAACGTTACAGCTGAAGTGAATGAAATGATGAATGAACACACAGTTTGTATGTAGATAATTAGAAGTCCGGCTGAGTAGATTACATTATTTAATGTATCATCATTATGCTTGTATTTAAAAAGCATCTAAACAATATTATTTCTTCTATAACTCCATCCCTTAGGTGCTCTGACACCAGGAATTGTGTTACGCGTTTTGATAGAGATTTGTTTTGTAAAAAACGATAGGACCACTTGGAGATTAAATCATTGCCGTAATAATTTAGTAAATTGTTCTTACTTGAGAAAACTCTTGTGTCAGGAGTAAAACTCCTTGTTTGGCTGTGCTGCAAGAAAGATGATTTTTCATTATAATTCAAACTCATCTGGTTTCTCCAAGTGCAGACTACATTGATTTACAGTACTAATATAGAAAAGGCAGAATTAAAAAGCTGGTTTATTTAGAAACTTACTTATTCCTAAGAATGTCTGTTCAGCTCATTTTTAAATTTGATTTCTTATCCCAGGTGAATTACACCGCATTTCTGAATCTCAAGAACTGCTTGTGCCTGATAACAGCTGATCGAAGTACCAGCATAGTTCAGTCATTTTGATTGTAAGATTTTTGTTTGTTGCCTTATTGGACAATGCTGTTTGCAAAAGAGAGATTAAGAGCACCAGAGACAGAATTACAGACCACAGTTAGTGCATGAGACTTAATATTAGTATAGGATCACAGTCTGTAAGATCAGTGGCAAATTAATCCAGCTTGCAGGCAGAATCAATGTCTTGTTCTGAAAAAACAGCAAGGAAAATCCGTGCCAGTGTTTCAGCATGACAAATGAACTTAGGCAAGTTGAAGATAATCATGATTATTTAATATTCCACAGCTTTACAACTCGATACTCTGTGGACAAAAGATCAGAAGGCTGCTGAGTCCAAAGTTTTGAATCTTTGGGTCAATATACTTCTCATGTCTTCAGCATTTAGTTTAATTTAGGAGGAAACAGTTCTGAGCTAAGATAAGATCTCAAACAAAACTGACGTGGACTCACAACATGGCCTAACATAACAATTTAATCTATCCTGTGCTTCCCCTGAAAGAAGGCTTAATAACTGTGGTATGATTTCACCTGCTGCTTCTAACATTTGCTCATTCTTTTTTCCTGAGCAAATTTGGATTATCAGATGGCAAGCAGCTTTGTTCATGGTAGACAAACTTGAATTCATTTAGGATTAATAACAATGAGTTCAATCCTGGATTCAATGGCAGTCTTAATGAATGGAGTCTTTGGAAGACAAATATTTGTTTGTGCTAAAGAGAAATAATTAATTCTCAGTTTTCCTGGGTATGAGGTGCACAGCACATATAGCAAAATGTTTTCCCTGCGTATCCAGCCTTGGGCATATGAACTGCTGGAACGTTCCCCGAGCCCTGGCATTGTGGATACAGGCCATTTTGACCTTGTTGTTTCAAAACCTGAAGTTTCACAATGAATTATTTGGTGTGAGGAAAAATGTGTCTCTTACTCACAATATTATCTCAGGCCCTCTTGGTAATCTGATGCTGGGGAGTAACGAGAGAGAAAGGTCCACGTTGCTGTGATCCATCAGCAGTCGTAGGTTGAGACAGGGCTACTCAGGCGGAGGGATCCAGACTGGACCCAGATTTTGGCCCAATCCTCACCACTGTCTTAGACATGGACATCTTCCAAATTCCTGGGGGAAATCCCACATTCTTTACTAGTTTCCCTGTGTCTTGGGAAGCAACCGGAGCACACACCACCACCGTGCCCAGCCAGGGAGGAGCTGGCTGAGCTGCCACACCGGGCTGTGCTGCCCAAAACCAAGTACCCGCTGACCTCAGTACAAATGAGCAGACTTCAGTGAACTTACCCTGCAGGCAATTTTACCCTGGAAAAACATCGCCCACGTTGCTAGAGTTGAGGACAACAAATTAGAGCTTTTCATATGCACTGGTAGCTTTTTTTTCCCTTTTTTCCTCCCCCCCTCACTACCCCAGTAACATCCAGTTGCTTAATTCCATTTGAAATCACCCCAAGTAGGCACCTAAATACCTAAATAATCTTGTCCTTCATGCCTGTCAACATCTTGAGGCACCTAACCACCTTTAGAGATGTGGTGTGAAAGCTTGTGAACGATGCAATCGAGGAGGGAAACAAAAGACAAGTATCCCTATTTGCTGCCCAAGAATCCACAAAGAATGCTGCTTCAGCTCTGCTCTGATTTCTAATTAGATTATGAGTGATGTAGGACTCTGAAGCCAAGCTGGAGTTTGTGCTAGCACTTTGCATGTATGAATGACAAAGGGACACCACTTTCATATTGATTTAAGCAAGCCAGTGGAAGAATGTTTAAACAGCAAGTGCTTGATGCCCCAGTTTGCCAGAGCACCTGGAGATATCAAATTAATTCCAGGTGTTCTGCCATTAAGACGGGCTTGCTGCTTTTACAGCCACACACAAAATGTGGCTCCCAGTTCCACAAATAAAAACTGAGTGGTTTCTGCTCCTAATGCCTTGATAACCCTGATATATTGCAAGTTCTGGAAAGAATTTTAATCTACATAGTTTTTTTAAATGGGGAGGGGAGCGAGGGGGGAGGGATTTTAAATATGCTGCATACAATTTGTGATGGTCATCTCTAAAATGCAGCTCCATTATCCTTTTCCATTTGGAATGAATGAGGCTAATTAATTTCAGGCCATACTTGATGAGGTCAGCACCATACGAAGGGTGCGTGCTAGACATTGCTAATCTCTTTCAGCTGAGAGTGATGAATTAAAGATGAAGCATTCCTTTGCAGGCCTAATTTAGAATGTATATCAAAAACCTACAGCAAATAATACTATACCCTACAACAAAGGAAAACTTGTTCTCTCAGGCTCCCATGTAGGGTTGATTTTAAAGGCATTTTCATTTCACTTTGGAATTCCAGCTGTGGATGGGTGAAACAGTTCAGAAAATTCAAGCTTTCTCACTTTCTATTGCTTTTATGGACAAAAGTACGCAAGGGGGGGGCTACGGGGAGAGAGAAACTAGTCAGTGTTTGATCCTGTATATACTGTGATTCTGACTGTACACTCGACATTTAGGAAAGCTGCCAGGGTCTTGTGCTCCCCCAAGTACCTGTGACGTGACACTCCCCCCACGGCGCACGCTGAAATTTTACTGTCGGGGTTTTTAAGTCTAAAGGGAAAGCTAACAAGTGTCCGGTTTTGTTCAGCATCATCTCGTGGATGTTTTGTTGGACGTTGCGGGCTTTTCCCCTGGAAGCAGGATGGGTCCAGCAGCTTTGCTGGGTCACCCAACATGGACAAGAGAGCTTCCAAGCCAACACAGAACTGTATTTCTCCATGGGGAAAAAGCACCTCCCTATGCAAAAAGGTCCTGTTACATCTAGGACCGCACGTAGCAAAATCTAACAGCAAAACTCACCGCAAAAGCAACCACACCCGGTCTGGAAGCTGTACAAATTGCTACAGGGCTCTCAAATTTGCTGGGTTTGGGGCTCAGCCAAGCTTTGCCACCTTTCCCTTAGGCAAAACCCCCTATAAAGTCCATAGGAGTTTCCCCTGAGTGAGGGACTGCAGGATTTGGCCCCATGGGCAGCAAGAAATTAACCTTAATTGTCATTTTGGTAAAAAACAGACTATGAAATCCTGATCCAGCCTCAGAAGGAGGCTGAAAACAATAGACCACCAGCTTCCCCACCACTTTGCTGTTTAATACCTGGCAGTTTCTTGAAATTCTTGACAGGTTGCTGCAGCGAGTCGAAGTTCCCAACTGGTGGC